AATGATGAGTTAATAGCAGCTTCTCATTAAGATGCTGCAGGAAACAAAATCCCCACGAGAGAGACTTCTAAAAGAACTTTGTGTCCTTCTCTGTTGTTCTCTTTCCAGGAACCACCAGTGCTGAACAGCAGAAATCAGTAAGACTTGCATGAACTGTGGAAAAGTTTGAGAGAGACCATAGTCCAAGGCCTTGCTAATTCTGTGTAACACTGGATACGTAAGCAGTACTTGGCTTGAAAGGAAGAACTGGTCAGCTTGTAGAAAGAAGTGGCAATTAACCTCATTATTTTTCACTCCTGTAAAGGGAGTTGCAGCCCACAAACTCAGGAAAAAAAAAAAAAGGTGTAATGTGCAGGTTTCATTCAGCTTTGAAATCAGCAAAATCTGCCACTTGAGCGATGGACATGATTGCAACACTACACAGAAGAAAGCTTATTTCATATGTGCTACAGTCTATCTGCAAAAAGGTTAGAAGAAAAAGCCTAACTAAGGTGTACCAATATTTCCTGAAAGCAAACGGTGAGAGTGGAAAAGACTCATTAGCGTTACTGTGAGGTACTAGGAGAGCAGTAAAGGACTAATCAAACAACGGTTTAGGTGCAGTCTCAGAAAAAATTTCCATGGCATCTACCTGCCTTCACCAAACTCCCAAGTGAAGGGGAAGAAGCTTCAGCGAATTCAAAATCTGAAAACTCTCCGGGCAGAAAACCAGAAAAATGTCCTGGGAGGAACAATTCTGCAACAGTCACTGACGGATGAAAAACTGAGTCTGTGTATCTAATCAGTGAATATATCAATTTAATTTACTAAGGAAATTCACTAACTTTAAGCCATGGGTATTACCTTAACAAGCGATTAGTGAAAAACACATTATAACCATGTAAACACCTCTTCCTAGCCTGCACACTAAATGATATTTTGAGAAAAGGGAACCCAGAGGACAGAGTGTTTAAACCTTCCCAAATATATCCATCACAATAAAAGAAAATATCATGGGTTACAAATTGCAATGTGCAGAAGTAATCAATGTAGAAACACTGTCTTCTTGCTTCTTACATCTGCTCTGTGTATCTATCTTCGCATTTTTCTAACAAAAGCTATTTACCCACTAAATAAAGAGGTAACAGTAGAGAGACACTGTGCTCAATATCAATATACCTTCAGCAAATTGTTACAGGAGTTGTGACAGCAAATGCCTTCATCACTGATGATAATGCATGAACCAAAAGGCGTGTATGTTCTTTTGCACAACATCTATCATCTGAGGCATCCTTGTCTAAAACAGACCAAATAATTTTTTCAAACTGGATCCAGAAGCAACATATAGACATAATGAAATCTGAATTCCAGGTCGATATGAGTTACTTTCAGGCACATTATTCTTAAAAGAGTGGAAAACTTCAACCAAAACTGAAAGCAGTGATGAAGTGGATCAGGATACTTGAACACCTTCTGTAAATCCCAAGGGTACCAAAATAGTCATAAACCTGTCTTTGAAAGCAAAAGACCTATATTAGTTAAAAATCTGTTTTCTTTTCAGACACGACTGAGGGAATTAATTAGTTGCCTGGATGCTACAATGCCAACTAGCATCAGAAAGGATACCTTTTAGAACAGAAAAGAATAACGAAAGCACATTGTAAAAATTTTAATGGAATTTAAATACTACATTGAAGTGAGAGAGATTATAGGGAAAACACTCTCCTGACAAATAATTTGTAGGATTTACACGTAGTAGTTCAGGAAATGACTATGAGAGACATAACAAGTTTATTTATCAGGGATAAGGAAGGGAAAGATTCTAAGACGAGGAAATAAACCCAAGATACAATTAGTCTGATAACAGGAAATTTAGTTGTCTTGGAAAGCGAAACTCTATAAGCTGGAAAGACCCGTAACATTTCATGGCTGTTCCATAAGCTAATTTTTTGTTGAAAATAATAGATCAAGAATACCTCAACAAAAACAAAAAAAACCCCACCTATTAAAGACAAAATAATATTGTATTTAATTGTTCCAGGGATTCAACAGATACGCTGTTTTTCCCAGGGCTCTGTGTGCAAATTTTTCATTGTTTCTTTAATGAAATTTTGACTCATTTATAAAACAAAATCTACAATGTATTCTTTAAAATTAACACCGATTTTTTTTAACTGATTAAAGTCTTTGTACCATAAATTGATCACTGCAAATACAAAACTGATTTACCTGGATATTTTACAGTGAAGCTGCCTGAGACAGCACTGGATCAATTATCTGGTAGGTATAATTTTCAACCAAGAAAATTCAAGAAAACGTGCTGCATATGCTTCTCCACTTTCTGATATTTTTCTGCATTTAAAGTTTATAGAACCTGAATATTTTCTGAAAACTAGTCATTTTTTTCTGAGGTAATATTAATTAAAAAACCCCCACTATATTATAAATAACTAATACACAGAAAAGTTACTTATGCTTCTTGGGATAAGAAGTGACTCTAGCAGAATCCTGTAGCCCCACTGTGCTAGAGTGAATATTCCTCCTCCCTTCCAGCATCTGATGTCACTTCTCAAACAACAGCCTAGGGAAGCAGCAAAGTAACACTGGGGAGGTAAAGCTTGGAGAAAAAGAATTGCCACTGAGTTCTGTTCTTGTCATCAGACCCCTCAACAGCATGAAGCTGGTGGGAAGTGACAGACTGTCAGCCTACTGTCTTTAAGAGTTCGCAAAGTTGTGAAAAAAAATATGCCTGGAGAAGCAAAGGAAGATTGGAAAGGCTGACAAGAGAGAGGACTGGAGAACCTACAAGACCGTAAGGGAGTAAAGGCAGATGTTCGTGTCCTCCGGTTCCTTGGAGCAGAATACAAGTTGACTGGATTCACAGAGGTTAACCTGAAAACTGGGAGAAGGCTCCTACTGGCTCTTACTCAGAACACTGTTTGCTCTACAGGGAGCCATCCTCTAGAGGGAAAGCTGGTGTTGGGAGCACGGGAGCAAGGTGCTCTCCCACGGCATCTCTCTCTGACTCCACAGCAGGTCTGGCATAGGCGAAAAAGCAAGCTGCCCTCCCTATGCGGTTGGACATTTTGCATACTTAGGGTCTCTCTCAAGACAGCAAAAGTAGTAATATTATACCTTCAGAAATTAAAAGCTAAAGTTAAAATAATTGTATGTAATTTTCTTTTAGGTGTAGGAAGAATTTACCATAAAATTATGACAGGGTTCATTATAACAGAATACGCTCTCCTGTTCCTGGTTAGTACTGGATTCAAAAGTGTAATTAATATCACAAACACTCATAATAAGCTAGAAACATGTGGCAGAGCTAGGAAAAGAGCGGTCAAGTGAACTGAACTAAGAGGCAGGAAACCCTGCTTCTTATTCTAAGCTGTGACAATGATTTATTCCCTTAGTGTGGACCATACAGATGTAGTCAAGTCCTTTTACTTAATCAGAGAGTGATAAAAGGTTTCTCTAAAGTAGCAATTGATCATGCTCCCAGTACAGAAAGCAGCAACCAGGATACACTGTGGTTTGGTAATACTGTACTAATCCAATGTTTTTTTTCCAGTAGCTGTAACCTTGTGTTTTAAATTAAGAGATCTGTAAAATTTCTTGTTCAGCTCCTTTGATCCACTGTGTTTACTGAACATAGCTCTACATTCAAACCTTAATCTTTCTGAGCCTCAGCAACAGACTGTATTTACTCCTGTCATTACCTACCTTCCATGGATTCTGAGAATTACCACAGGTAATATTAGTGATGTGTTTTTGTACTTAATTACTACTGAATTTAATACTGAACACAGTATTACTGAACAGTAATATGCCTATCAAATGAAGTGATGGAAGAAAAGACTAAATATGATTCAGCTTTTTTTGTGTGTGTGGGGGACAAGGAGGGAAGGAGTTTTGAGCAGTTCTATGAAAAAGCCGGATGCTGGTACTGAGATCAGTTCTTGGCTGGTATGTTGAACTGAATCAGATCATGAAGGAGCCAGACAATACTTTTTTCCCCATTCCTTACAAGTCTTCTTAATTTTTTCAGACTGGTGCATATTTAGAAATAAAATCTACGCAGGTGGGCAGGACAACATGATAGAAAATGCCAGGCAGAAAAGCAAGTGGACAGGACAGCAAAAGAGCAAGTATCAGTGAGTAAGCAGACTCAAAGAGCAGCGAGGGAACACTATATTCAAGGATCAGATGAGAAGGCAGGAGGAAAATGCCAGACACTCAGCAAGTCCATAAAGCAATACCCAAACAGTCAGCAGGTGTGCCAAGCAACAGAAGAGCAATTCCGCAGCGTCAGCAGATGCACTGAGCGGGAAGGTGACGCCAGGCACCCAGGGTGGGCGATGGGGCAGGGGCAGGCCTGCGCCTGCGTGCGCTCAGACCGAAAGGACGCTTTGGAGGCGACACGTGCCGCTCAGCAGATGGGCAGGGCAGTAGGTAGTCAGCATCAAGCAATTAGCCGGTCAAGAGGTAATGCCAGCCAGGCAGGCAAATGGCCAAGATTTCAGGACAATGCTAGGCAGCCAGCAGGTAGAGAGAATAAATGAGAGCGGTGAATGCCAGGCAGTCCCCAGACAGGTGAGGCAGCAAAAGACCAAAGGCCGCAAATAATTGGATGCAACTGTCAGTGACGACGAAACGTTAAGTGTGCCAACTGATTGACAGGCCAGCAGGGTGGCAGTGCTTTTTCGGTAACTTAAGACACCATGAGTGAAACAGTCCCAAGAATCAGATGCTCACCCTCTGGTAATACCATTAGATCAGAGTGAACCATGAAAATCCACAGGAGAATAGCACACAAATGGAAACAGCAGATGAGTCTGACCCTAGCGCTTGGGGAGGCCATGGGACCTTCCTATAAACAAAAATATGAGAATCCACAAGAAAATCAAACAAATGGGAAAAATGTGTCTAAAAATTGTTTCTGATGATGATTAAAAAAGCAAAAAAATACTAGCAAAGAATTAGTTTGGAAATGATTTGGTGGGATTGAAGATGTTGCTTACCCCTCTCTGGAGCCCACATAATGGGAATGTTGGGAATTTCTGCAGCAGAAAAACAGAAGAGAAAAGGGATTTCTGATTCCCAGTTCAAGGAAAGCATGTCAATTTAGGACTGGGTAAGCTCTGGGCAAAAAATAAGAATTCAACTGAAATCTTTGCCCATCCCCAGATACATGCCTTAATTGAGGTTTGCAAAAAGTTCAAGAAGCCCACATCACTTTTATGTCAAGACATCCCACCCTTATTCCCCGAAACCACACTTACCTCTAGCACAAGGTGTCTAAGAGGGGAAAGGGGATGGTCTTGTGAGCTCATTCCCATATCCACTGCAAAATAGCTTGTGAAGATGAACATTAGCCACTGCCGGCCATTTGTGAGATACACTGAAGAAATCATTAACTGTTACTCATCACCAGTGTAGGCTGATGTTTGAAGTTGGCTTAGATACACCCACACTCCAATGAAAAGAATTAGTCTTATGAGTCTTGTGGGGTAACCCTTTTCTACAAGAGTTGCAAAAGTGCAAAACTCACCAACATCTTTTTTCACCTTGAATCTTCTCTTTAACTTAAGCACTCTGTTATTTAACATGGTTGGTTTTTTAAACAAATTAAACCATGTTACAGAAATCTTTGCTGCTGCTCTGTTTCAGAAACATATAATGAACTCTGGAATGTAAGAACCTAGAAAATCCCAGCAGTAATAAAATCCAGTAATTTAACTCATTTGTCATTTCTGTTATGAGTCTTTTTTTTCATTAAGTACCTTCCTGGCAACTAGGAGTCAATCAACCGAGAATTAAACCTCATTACTTCTGTCCTCTTAGAAGTCCACATTGTGCATGTAGTTACCTGTCTGCACATTAGCTTCTTGTTGGCAATACTGAAAACCTAAATCTTGCTTTGAAGGCAGTAATAAGCAACAAGAAGCCAGCTCTTCCCTCTCCTGCAAACTGTAGGGAACCTCAGACATAATAAAGGAATCATTAGTTCTGCTGTGCTCTGCTCAGTTAGGCTTTGGAAAGATCACAGAGACAGAATCCATATGAATGTGCCATGTACTCACACGCAACAAAGTTCTTAAGGAATACAGTAGCAACAGGCTAAAAGCTAACGGAACCTTATTTATACTGATCCTCTGGCTATCAGCCACTCATCCTCCTTCTGGCTGAGCAAGGCACAGGAATATGAGAGGTTAATACAACTTCAAATATATAAACTGAGGCTCATAGAACAGGAATTCCCTTCACCTCCAAACTTTCCTTTATCAAACACTGCCATTTAGGCTTAGAACAAAACGACAGGGAATTTTGGCAGAGAAGACCAAGAGATTTCCATTGTATGATTACTAAGGCATAACCCAGCCAGGATTACATTAGTTAAACCTCAGTAGACATTAATACCAAAGAGTATATACAAGGTACTGAGAGTATGCATTGGCAATCTTCATAAAATCCTCTGATTTTGTAGCCAGCAGTTAACTACAGTTAGCTCGTACCACATCAAGAACATAATTCCTAGCACCTTCTCCAAAGGGAGATCTTTCAGGGCTCACTGAAGATGAACTATGACAAACTGATCTCAGAACCATAAGAAACTGTTTACTTGTGGTGGAAAAGATGGGCTTTTAAAATCTTTTGTAATCTTTTTAAATCTAGTGATAGTTTAAATGCTCATAATAAATAAAACCTTCTGCATCTCACTATTAATTTGGGTATTCTCATTACAAAACAATTTGGAAAAAGAATGTATCTGAATGAAGCAACAAGAAGCTAACATATGGTCTATATTAAGGTTAAAAAATAATTATTTTATTCTCCAGAATACATAACTTTCATGACTGAGTGTGACAACAGTCATTTTGGTTTTCTATTCTCGTAATGATACCGAGTCAACATTTTGCTAAAGCTTCACTGCTCCACGTGGTAGCAGTTCGCAAAAGCAGGCAAAGAACTAGTTTTTATCCTAAGAATAACTGCTGAAGTCAGCTGCTTTCCAAGAGTCTTCTAGTTTCTTTCCACTTAGTGGCTGGAAAAGCTCCTAAACAGCAGGCAAGGAGCAAATGAGAAATTCTCTACTCTTTAATAAGTATTAGATTTAATGATCAGTTGCCTCAAAAGTGAGTAGTTTTGCTATGCTCGAGTGTTTATGTCAAAAGGACTAACTCAATTTTTGAGCCAAACTAGTATTTGCCCTTCAGTTACTATTTCTTTAAGCTGCCATCTCACAGGAGTCTTCTTAACTTGTCTATTCTTTTTTTTTTCATTTTCTCTGTATTAAGCTTTTATTAAACTCTTTGTAATAGACCGTGACCAAAAAAAAAAACATACCTCATTAAGGACAAGAATTGCATAATTACAGGCCTGACAAGGTTTTCGAGATTTTTTTTTTTTAACCTGATGCTTAATTTTGTTCAGCTGCCCATTATCTGCTGCAAAGAGATGTTTTAATGGAAACTAGTTTTAGAAATGGCCGAAAAGAAAAATTGAAAATTTTGTTACACAAAAGTCCTACGACAGGCATATTTTTTTCCCCCAGTTACAGAAAGGACTGCAAGACCTATCCACTGTTGCAGCTAGACCGCTACTAGAGGCCAAGCCAGCTAATTTAAACTAGCAGAGAGATGTCCATATGAGCTGTGATCCCTACAGGGAAAATATGGCTAAAAGGCATCAGTAATGCCAAGAGGAGGAGAACCCTTTCCTTCACTCTGATAAAAAGCAAATTATAATTGTCTTGCTCCTCTGAGTGTATTTTTAAAGTGGGATCACTGGGATATGAACCATTTGTCCACACCCAGGATATGCCGAGTCTTCTTCCAACCTCCATTCTGAAATTCCCTCGTAATAAAAAAACTTAATTGCAAAATTTCAGATTAAAAAAAAAGTGAGGCTTCCTGATACATTACTGAGGCTTTGCTTCTCATTCTATGAAACATTAAAATCCCTTATTGGTGTTTTATTACTGTTTTCTTCTTTTCAACAGAGCTTGCAAATATTTCATACATGTTTGAAAGACAGAAAATAGAACTACTATGTGCTATTTGAGACTATTAAGGAAAGCCAAAACAAAGCAAATAAAAGTTGATCCTCAAACGTGCAAAAATACTCAACTGCTTAAGAGGAATTCTGTTAGTACTACCTTCAGGATATGACGGTAGATATGAGGATAAGAAAGTTAAGACATTAGCTAAATAATTTAAAATATATTTGCCCCTGCGTTCTCAGCCAATATTGTCAGAGTTTTGCAACTTCAAGAAGAGAGAGAGAAGCAATTCATGTAATCCTTTTGGATGTAGGAAACAAACTCGCTTATTTGTGAATTTCAGGATTTATTTGATTCAAACTATCTTCTCATTTAACATATATATAACATAAGGCTAGAATCTAGTTTGGCCTTTGCAGAGGTAACTCATTAAAAATCACCCATGACCTCTGTAAGAAGTACAAAGATAACTTGAGTTTTCAAAGACATCTCTTTCACAATCAATTGATTTTGATTTGACAGGATTAAAACAGAATACAGATATTCTTTTGGGAATTCGTTTGTGTGAATAATCTCTCATTGTTAAACTAACAAATAAGCCCAAACACACAAAAGCTTTCCATTACGATGATTTTGGTTTAGACTTTTCTGTCTCACGTTTCCTATCACCAACTGTTGATGCTATTCTCTTTAATAGACTAAGAAAGCCACTGGTACCTTACAGTATTATTTCCCAAAGAACATAAAGTATTTTAAGAATAGTAATATAGTATGTACCTTATATTATTATTTCCCAAAGAAAGTACCAATGAAAACCTAGTAAATTCTCAGTGTTCTTTATGATAAAGTAAATAGAGCTGTGTAACTCTCACAGAAAGCATCTCTTGTAGTCATCCTATTTTTTTGACCTTTTCCTGTATGCAGTATTTCAAACTTTTTAAAAAGGAAATGTCAGAAAAAAAAAAGAGGTCTTCCATTTTAGACAGAGCAATCCCCTATAAAGAGACAAAAGTATCCTCTGTATTCCTATACCTTTTTTTCCCCCACCATCTTCATACTTGTCTATGGGAAATCTAGACAGAAACAGGTTGAGAGACATACATTCTTTCAACCCAGTATCTCAGCTGGATACACAGACAAGGGAACATGTTCAAAACTGCTGATTATGTAGCAGAATATCAAGAATTTACAAACCCCTCCTTGTTTATTAAAACTACCATTCTTCAGGAATGCTTTCTATATATTTTCTCCTCCCTTTGGCTTTTTGGTATGGGGTGTAGATTTTTTTTGGAGGAGGGATAGGGGAGATTTAGGGTGGGTTGATGGGCTTCTTTTCTTTTTTTGAGTAACTTCTAATATTTGAGTAAATGGAGTTGACATGAGGTCTGGCTTCCTTCCCTCACATTTCTCACTATAGCTCTCCTGGCAGCTAGCAGGTATTTCCATGTAGTGACCGTAGTTGATGATAGCACAACCAAGCACTTCAGTGATGCTGGCATGTCACCAAGTTTTCCTGAGAAACTCAAACAAGACAAGAGAAATGGCACATTTTAGGACTTCATAAGTTAGCTAAATCAGTTTGGAATTTCCCAAAACACAGGTACTTCTGTAACCTGACGGCGGACAGTGTAGTGCAAATAATGTGTATACTGCTGCTTCTCAAAGAAAGCGGTAATAGTTGTTTAGCGAAAAGTGTTCTGCAACTAAATGTATAAATTCTGCTGTAATCACATTCCTTCCAAACACGAGACTTAAAATCTAATTACGGATTTTTAATTAAATTAATAGAGCACATAAAGATAGTTGTATTTTTAAAATACCAAATACAGCATTTAAAATAATAAATTGTATTGACTAATTAAAACAGGCCGGATAAAGACCTATTTATACAAGGTAGGAACTGTCTGGAGGACAAAGGAAAAGGGAATGGTACCTTAGATAAAGTTCTAACAGAGTAGAGAACAGAATTTGGAAGGAGTCTGTCACAGAGTAGTCTATTCCATTTAAGCGTATTTTTTGCCCGGATGCATCTTGCAAGGTTTCATAATTCAGGCCCTT